AGAGAGAGAGAGAGAGAGAGAGAGAGAGAGAGAGAGAGAGATGGAAGTAAGGTAACGCGGCTCTATGGAGAAGCGGCGCGAGATACCCCGGTTCTCCGTTTATCCGTTCTCACGTGACGATCCGTGGACGACCCGTTTCGATCGCGTCCGTTGGTTACTCTTTCATCGGCCTCCTCCGCGCTGGGAATTTTCAATTTGATTACAAACTGCCCGAACGCCACCCAGTCCACCCTCCTGCGCCGCGCGTTTCCGCTTTTCCTCCTCCTCCTCCTCCTCTTCCTCCTCCTCCTCCTCTTCCTCCTCCTCCTCCTCCTCTTGCTCTTCCGCCGTCCTGTTCCACTCTTTCTTGCGCGTGGTCCGATGAAAAACTCTCGTCGCTCGATCGCGACGGAATTATTGGCCGGCCGACTTTATTTATGGCATTCATTTTCCTAGAGATCGCAACCAAGGCAGCCTGTCCACCATTTTTCTCTTCCTCTCTTTCGCTTATTTCTTTTCTTCGTCTCGTTAATTACTTGCTTATTTCCGTGCTTAATTTTACCGATATTATTAATGTTATCTATCCTCGATGCCTAATCAGTCAATACTGCTATGATTTACATTTTCTTCTGCTTTTGTAAATAATTATTTGTTAATTATTCTTGCACTGTGTAGTAAACATATATTTTAGTATTGAGTAATTATTTCTTATTTCATATTATATTTTCTTTTCCATTTTATGCAGTTCTGGAACTCCGATCTACTTATCACAGAACGACAAATTAAATGGATAATTTATTGAATTTATTCAATCATTTCACTTGATTGAACTATTTCTCGCATAACTATACGTACAGATCTTTCTTTATAGCAGAATAATACTTTTCGTGCACATTTATTTGGTTCATAATTTGAAAGAAATAAAAAAAGATGAACTAAAATTACAAGAATTTAAGATAAATTGAAAAATCGATTATTTTATAATATTGAAATAAAAATATATGCGAATCTTTCCGTGATATAATCACAGTGACACGAAATAAAATATATGTTGTTCTCAATAAAATCGCTTTCAAATATCGATATGCCTTATCTCTATACTTTTCTCTTGATTTTTTTTTCTTCTAATAATCGGTCGTTTTTTTAAATGGGAAACATTTCACAACGATCCTTATAGCTTCACTCGTGCACGTTTTACGGTTACAAGATTTCCTTTTCCGAAAACCCCACACGAAGTTTCGGTGCTCCATCAATTTCTCTCCTTTTTCCGTCAACGTTCGGTCACGTCGCCCTTTTTTTTCTCACTCTCGCGCGAACCGTCGATACCGCGATTTACGACCCGTCAAGCGAGAAAACGAGTAGGACGTTGATAACGACGACACTTTGACGAGAAGCGTGCATCGTTTCCTCCTACTAGCAATGGGAATTAATTCCGGACACGCGCGCGCTTTTTTTTCTCGTTACATTATCTTTAAAATATTAAAACTAGACCTGTGCGATATTAAGTATACGTTTCTATCGCACGCGTCTTTTTAACGAAGCAGATAGATCAGAACGATACGAGAGATGTTTCGAGTGAATTGCTCGATATTTCTCCTTAATTCGTTTTACTTCAGCGAAGTAAATTTAAGACTATAATTACGATTGCGTTAACTCCTTCAAATTTGATTTTAATGGAACCATGTTGACAATTTTTTTTTAAATTTAATTCAAGCACTTTAATAAGTACCCAGCAAACAAGCTGACGTTATTTATCGTCATTTTAACGTCATTTTGACAATAAATAACGTCAGTTTGTTTGCTGGATAGATAATTTATACTAAACAATTAATTTTTTTAAATGTTGACTATTTTTTTAACATATACATTTGTTATGTACATCTGATCTCAGATGATGTCGATAGAATTAAACAATTTCGAGGGATAATGTCTTCAAATTTGATGTACATTACAATAATTAATGTAAACAGGATCTGAAGCAGTTAATGGGTCTTCAATCAAAAATCATGTTTTAGAAAAATCTTTAAAAAAAAGATAAATATATGGACGCTGTTAACAGGGTTGATGTTGCGATATCATTTGAATACCGCCAACGTTGCCATTATTGCTACTTCATGACTGAGAGCTATAAAACGGCAACTTATACATTATTGGGTAGTTTGTCTGGCAATCTTAAATACATCCGAGTGCGTGATGTGCACGTACCGGAAAGAGGCGCTCTTTCGTAAATCAATAACTCCGACGAGAAAGAAAGAGAGAGAGGGGGGAGGGGGGGCTCGTTGCGAACGGCACATGCTAAACGCGCCCATTAAACGGACTGGGATCGAATCTCGTTTCTAATGTTCTCGCGTACGGTGGTCCAGGTGGCTCGGCAAGGGCAATTAAACGTATAAACGGCGTGAATTAGCCGCAAGAATTGGCCCGGCCCGGCGCTTTTCAATGGACCGCGCCAGAGGCTGTCGTTGGGCATCAGGGGCCATTTAACACGATGACATCCCATTTACCACCCCCGCACAAAGACCCCGGCCGCGACTAGACCAGACAAGCAAAACCCTGGAAACCCATATGTCAGCACGTGCCACAGTCGCCGTGCGCCACGTTGCTCTCTTTCATGCACGATTGTATGTGGAGCCGAGCCCCGGGCGCCGTAATCGTCGGCTGGTTTTGGAAAATTATTTCCTGGGATAAAGCGACGATCTCGCGATTAATCTAGTTTCGACGGGA